GTGGCACTTTGTGACAACAGCCCTAGGAAATGAATCTACTGTCATTGTTCTATTCTGTCTGTGTGGACATCAAGAATCATTTTCCCTACTGTTTTCCTAGTGGAGATTCATTATTTAATTTTAATTTCACTTATTGGACTCCCCTGTCTTTTCATCTTGGTTAGCCTAACTAAAATTTGCCAATTTAATCTATTTTTTTCTAGAAACCCACTTTGGGTTCACTGATCTTCTCTACTGTCTTTTCAGTCTCAATTTCTCATGTTTCTGCTCTAATATTTATCTTGATTTAAGTTTCCCGAGTGTCACAGATCATAATGAAGGCAGGAAGAAATGTGTGAATACATAAAATGCTGTGTTTTTCTGTCATATGAGTGAAGATACCATCCCATAATAATCAAGTATTCTGGGTGAGGTTTTATGCATAGTATTCTAATGCTCTGAATACATCCTTCAAGGGAACCAAGAGGTAATGTTCATTTCTCATTCGAAGAAATTACCACACTGAAAACTGGAGGTTAATTTTTATGTCCAAGGTCATGCAACTAGTCAAGAGTAGAAGCAACAGGGGCTGGGGTGTAGCTCAGTGGTAGAGTACTTGCCTGGCATGTGTGAAGCAGTGGATTCGATCATCAGCACTGCATAAAAATAAATAAATAAAATAAAGGTATTGTGTCCATCCACAACTAAAAAATGCATGTTCAGGTCCCTGAATTTGATCTTTAGTGTGCGTGAACTCATACACTCACACACATACACACACACACACACACACACACACACAGTAGAAGAAAGAGAAAACAGAATTTCTTTGCATATGAAATTGATTCTTCAGTACTTCCTAGGAAATACACTATGGAATATTACTATTTTCTTTGTGTAGACAAAGTACCAAGGTGACTACCCAGATACCAATCATGTTTACTATAGCAGAAGCCAAAAACATGTGCCATATGCAGATGCTGCAAAAATTGAATGAGCATTTGAAAACCTATAGGTAAGATCCACAGAATAATCCCTTTATGTATAGTGAAGATATAGAAATTCTTGGTGGGATAGCTGGTAAGTGAGGAGAGATTTTCGAGGATATAGATAGAGGGACAAATTATAATTCCTCCTTCTTAGGGAGATCACTAATCACTTTGTATGTCAGACCTTTTCATGTCACACACACAGTGCAATTGTGTAAATAATTATACAATTCCTATTCTAAAATAATGATTCTGCAAATAATGAGGCTGAAATAGACAGCATTATAAATAATATCACATAAATGGAACAATTGTTACATTCTAATTAAACCCAATAATTAGATTCTACTTAGGCAGTGGAAAATTTACCATGTATTCATTAGTCAAAAAATCATCTGATATGTATTACTTATTGCTAATAATGCAATCGTGCCACTGTGATTGTTGTAGGATTAATTTGTTCTTCTGTATAGCTCTACAGCAATGACCATTAGCACTGCTTTTTCAGACACATAAATTAAAGAGACTCATACAGAAATGAAAAAACTCACTGCCCTTTCCCTTTGTATAAATTTTATATTTGGCTTTGGACCTGTTTTACTCCCGGGCTCTCCAATATATCTGTGATTGTCTATTTCCTGGGACCACTTCGGATACCAGTTTCTGTAATCAGGGTCCAATCAAGGCAGAGACCACAATCCAATTATTTTAACATGCAGATATAAGTAAGGATGTACCTGCTACTAAATAACTGAGACAGGAAAAAAAAAGAAGCAATGAAATATTTTGGCAGTCACAACTGCAGGAACCAACTATCACCCAGAGACCTGGGCAAACAAGAAAGAGTTTGGACATTTAATTTCTTAGAATTTTATAGCAGAGGTCTCTGGAGCTCCAACTCTCCAACCCAGACTGCTGAGCAAAAGGCACCACTCAGCTTGTATTGACTTCTCTGAGCTGAAAAGATGAGTCCCATCAGGTTGCAGCCCAGACCCTGAGGATGGGACTCTAGTTCATGCAGAGAGATGCAGGAGAAAGCTGAATCTGCAAATTTGTAAGAAACATGATTTGGATTTGACCTGCTGCTGGGAAAATAAACTTACCCACTACTGGAGTGGAGGAGCAAGGCTAGAGTGAGGCAGGGAGGAGAAGCAAGGTTGACAGGAGTGTGCTGCAGGGGGTAGGGAACAGACACAGATGCTGTTGGAAGTGAGCAAGAAGCAGACAAGAAATTAAAAGAGCCCTTCTTTTTCTTTCCCTCTTGGACATCTTCTAAGGCACCCCAAAAGCCATGACCTTACAGGAAAGGCAGAAACGTGGTTTTCAAACTTCCAACCTAGGCATCATAAAGCCGAGAGCAGGAGAAAGCATTTGGAGCTGCAGGGCTGTAGCTTAATAACTTGCACACCCTCCTTGACATTTTCATTTTCCACTTGATCGAGAAGACCTTAAAGGCAGCGACATTTCTTATTCATTCCTACTTCCTAAGTATCTAGCCTGGTGTCAAATTCAAAGTGGCACTCAATTTTTTTTCTTCCATTAAAAAAAAAAGAAAGATTAAAACATGCATTATGAGAAAGAGACAGAGACAGGAAGGCAGAGACAAGAGAAGAAGTCTGTACTATATGCTATACTCTTGATTTCAGTGATTAAATAGTGAATAACAACAAAAAAAAGACCCTGCTTTTCTGAAGCTGCTATACTCATAGGTACTAGATGAAGAGACACTGGATATGGCCCATTTCTCCTATCCAGAATATTTTCCTCATGGGCCACGTTGCCCTGGCTTCCTGCCACCTCTTTGTGTCTTCTTGCCTCTTTGCTGGCTTCACTGTCTACCTCTACTCTAGACGGTTGTATTCCCCTAGTACCAGTCCTTATGTGTCTGCTCTTTCCCTTCTCTGATCCACCCCCACTCAGATCTCATTAATTCCTAGATTGGATAGTAATGCATATTGTCCTAACTCAAATCCTTTGATTGCCTGCAAGAAATGTTCATTAGCATAGTCTCTGGTAACATCAAGCTCAACATACATAATAAAAGCTCATCTTGTCTCCTTTAGAGAGCCCTCATACATAGAATGGGTAAACTTGGGGGTCAAACGATTCCAATTGATATGATTTTGTATATGTGCATGTCTGTCTAACTATATATATGTATGTTTATATATATGAACAAATGCATTTTCTACTATGAGATGTGACCCCCAAATACTCAAAAATCTAGACTAGATGAGCTCCAAATTCTAAGAACTTAAAAATGTTTTAAAATTCCTTAATCTCACAGAAAGATAAACAAATATAGGTAAAATTATCTTACATGTTGGGTTTGTAAGCTTTCTGTTAATATAACAAATACTTAAGATAATCAGCTTATAAAGAGAAAAGGTTTATTTGGCTCATAGTTACAGTGATTCCAGTTCATGATTGTCAGGCCACCCACTAGGCCTCACCTCGTAAGTTTTTCACTACTTCTCAACAGCACCAGGGTAGGGAACGTGTCTTTAACATATGGGCCTTTGCAAGACATTCCAGATACAAATTATAGCACTGTATTATGTATTTATGTATGATTTGCACATTGTTGCTATGGCTCAATTTATTGCTTCCTAAAGAACCTTTTATCCTACAAAACTGGACAGCACAATAGCAAGAATTATAAGAAAAATAAAAAAAATTAGTGCATATCACTCAAACCCTATATAAATTTGTAACAAGAGCAATCATAATTTGTACTTTGTTGATAACTTGGGTGTCCTAAACAAGGTACTTTGGAGTATTTTTTTATTTGCGGGGGGGGGGGGTACCAGGGAATAAACTCGGGACACCTGACCACTAAGCCACATCTCCAGCCCTATTTTATATTTTTATTTAGAGACTTTTGCTTAGACCATCTTTGACCTCTTGATACTCCTTCCTCAGCCTGCTAGGATTACAGGTATGCACCACCAAACCTGGCAGTTTGCAGTAAGAGAACCAGATGCAGGCATTTTTTTTTTAGTGCCTTTACCTTTCCCTAAAGCCTTTTAGCCCTAAAATAGAACTGAAGCATTTCTATGCAACAGAGAAGCTTGTAATTTTTTCCCTTTATAATGAAGTTTTAAATTCCATTGCGATTATTCTGTCTCTCTTTGCCTAAGAAAACAAATCAAATATGAAAAAAACCTACTTCCATACCAAAGTATCATTACAGCTACCTAGCTACAGAACCAGCTTGTTTTAGCTTAAGTCTATAGTCATGGCATAATTATTAATAGTACCATTTTCTACCTCTGACATATCTGGGTTTGCACAACAAATTATATGGTCATAATAATTATTTTGCTATTTAGCAAACTATTGTAGAAGAGCAGACTGAAACACTTGGATGTTATAATAAGTTAAAAACATTAAGTATATGTTGATAGGACCAATAAGGAAAGTAAATATAAAATGTTTTAGGGCTAGCCTCTATGGAGAAGAGACGTTTAAGATGCACTGGGTGCGAGAATCAGCAGAGAATGTATGGCCAGTGAGCAAGGAAGTGGAGGAAACAGCATATGCAAAGGACCTGTGGTGAGACAGAGACAGGCAGGTTTAAGGAATTGAAAAGAGGCTGGTATGGCTGGAGTACAGAGAAAGAGGAGTGTAGGGTGGCATTCTGAACTTGAGAGGCTTTAGGATAGAATGTGGGAGCCACAAGTAGGTTGGGAAATACAAATTGCAGAGCTTACCAATGAACTAAAATACTGCTGATGGAGAAAAAGGAAACAAGGATGATTTCCAGGTTTCTAAAATAAATCCAGGAAATGACGATTCAATTTTTGTCTCTCTCTATCTCTTGAGATCACTTCTCTGAGGACCTCGGTTACCTTGTCTACTAAGCATAGATAAACCATACCATGTCTAAGCACCCTGCCACTTTTAACATTCTGTACTTCTAAATTGCATCTGTAAGCATTTACTTCATATGGATTGGAGTATATCCCTTCTCACACATTTGTCCCTTCCAAGGAGAAAATAAAACATTTTTTTCTCAACAAGCAAACATACCTTTCTGTAATTTTCTCAGTGTAATTCCTTCAGGTTTCTCTCTGGGGTGATGCATTTCTTCTCCTTCCCCCTTAACTCCAATCTTACTTCTTTCCCCTTTCAGACTTGATAGGGCTCTGCATAGTTGGGAATGAAGATTGTCATAAATATTCCAAAATCAATTGGCCATTTACCCCTGTAAAAAATAACAGAAAGAAAGTGTTAGCTTGCAAACTACAACTCAGCCTAAGGTCACCTCCCACTCATTCTACTGCTGGTTAATCTCCTTGGACTAATTTGATAAAGCACATTTGATTTACTTTGCAGAGACAAGCATTGCTTCTATTGGCACTCAAAGATACCGGAAGAGCTCCCAAAACATAGAGAAATGTGTCCATTCATTTAACAGAAATCTATTCCCTGCAAAAACAAACAAACAAACAAACAACAACAACAAAAAAAAAACATGTTCTTATTTCTCTGGTGTATTCTTGTCTAGTACCTTGAGAATTCACAAAGTAAAACATAAGGGGATGTATTTTTTGTACACATATACATAAACAAGTATATAAATTCCACTGTTTTTCAAGGTTTGATATTAAAGTGCACATATAAAACATACAGTGGTGCTGTTGAGGTAGTCCAGCCTCAGAAGAGAGGGGCTGACCACTGAATATAAACACCTTAAGTTTCAGTCTTCTGGATTTTCCCAGAGGAAATGCTCATGTTATAAAAGGACACTGTGTGGATTAAGAATAGACATTTTCATTGTGTTAGCACATGTTGATAGGACTGAAAGGAAGCCCTATATCTTAAATTCAAAGGAAGGTGTTAATTCCTTACAAAAAAAAAAAAAAGAATTGATGCCTTATAAAAATATAGATTCCTGAGCACCATGGCAGAATCACTGAATCAGAGTCTCCAGAGCTGGGGCCAGGTGCAAGACTCTCAATGTTTTATATGTATAGGACTCATCTGAGGATCTTGTTTAAAATGCATCTTTATGCAAGCCTGTAATCCCAACAGCTAGGGAGGCTGAGACAGGAAGATCTCAAGTTCAAAGCCAGCCTCAGCAGCTTAGCTAGGCCCTAAGCAAAAGCAACACAGTAAGACGCTGTCTCAAAATAAAATTAGTTTTTAAAAAAGGGTTGGGGAAGCTGGGTGCAGTGGCACATGGCTGTAATCACAGCAGCTCAGGAGGCTGAGGCAGGAGGATTGTGAGTTCAAAGCCTGCCTTAGCAAAAGCAAGGCGCTAAGCAACTCAGTGAGATCCTGTCTCTAAATGAGATACAAAATAGGGCTGGGGATATGGCTCAGTGGTCAAGTGTCCCTGGGTTCAATCCCCAGCACCAAAAAAAAAAAATGTTGGGGAAGTTGCTCAGTGGTTAAGCACCCCTGGGTTCAATCCTGGGTACTAAAAAAGAATACATTTTATGAGGCATGGGATTGTGCATGAGTTATGTCTTCCCAAAGCTCCCACATGATGGCATGCTTCTGGTCCATAGACCATACTTGAAGGAACCAGATTCCAAAGTCTGCACACTACTACATAATCTAGAATAAGTACTCTGCCATTGGCAGATTCCTCCCAACAGCTCCACTGTAGTACTAACTAGCTTCCTACCATAGCACGGAGAAACTACACAGCGGGGAATGCCTCAGCTAATAGAGCTCATTAGAAAAGGGCTTAAAAAGCAGTATCATCATTTTTACAATTTGAAAATGACTTTTCAGTTTACCTGCTTAATACATCACACATAGAAAGCCCAGGGAGGCATCACGCACCTGAGGTCTCTTTGATGCCCAATTTATTTCCTTGGCAATGCTCATCAGGCACTGCCTGTATCACCTCTCTTCCCATCACAACAAAGTGGGGAAAAAACTGTCAATAAGCCTTTCTAGACAGTGATCAAGGGCAAGTTGGCTTCTCAACAGCGATTCTCAGCTTTTCATCACGGATTATCCATCAACAAAGTTAATGTGCGCCTTAAAAGACAGCCTCCTGTGTGAACATCACTGGGGATAACAAGGGGGCCTGCAATTTTTGCATTTGTTCTTAATCTCCTTTGCTGTGCTTTTTTAACATCTGAAATTGCTGACGCCCACACTTACACAGTTTTTAAGGGGAATCCTTTCATCTGAGCCGGCTCACCAACTCCTACATGTGCTGATCTTTCACATCCCACAAACAGAAATGGCCAAGAAATAAAGGTAGGATCTAAAATGAATTGATCTCTAATTAACATGCACGATATTTGTATGCTTATCTGGTGTAATTGTCACGTTAATACTCTGGGTATGTTTTATTGTTTTCATTTACAAATATAAAGAAACTAGGCCAAGAGGCTCAATGGAATCACTCAACCTAGGCTGGCTACCCCATTTCCAAACCCATGCCATTCCCCTAAAACAAGTAACTTTTGTTTTGTTTTGGGTTTTTTTGATACTAAATTTAAATGAAGTGAAGTGATACTGACCACTTGTCAGGAATTTATAGGTAATATTTATATAAAAAGAATTTGAGGGCCTGGGGATGTGGCTCAAGCGGTAGCGCACTCGCCTGGCATGTGTGCGGCCCAGGTTCGATGCTCAGCACCACATACAAACAAAGATGTTGTGTCCGCCAAAAACTAAAAAATAAATATTAAAAAATTCTCTCTCTCTCTCTCTCTCTCTCTCTCTCTCTCTCTCTCTCTAAAAAAAATAAAATAAATAAAAAGAATTTGAGAAAAACAGTCTCAAAAGATTTTTTCGAATCCTAATGTTCTATTATTGGGTACATGAATAAAATATTTTATACATTATAAATTGTCAATATTGTATTCCAGTGAATCACAGATAAGCTTAAGTACACTGACACAATCTTTTTTTTAAAAGAATTGTTTCTTTTTAGTTATACATGATAGTAGCACTGACACAATCTTAATCAGATAAGTGATTTAAGACAGAATGAAGTAGGCTGGGCACAGTGGCCTATACCTGTAATCCCAGCAACTGGGGATGCTGAGACAGGAGGATCACAAATTCAAAGCCAGCCTCAGCAACTTAGTGAGAACTTATCTCAAAATAAAAAATAAAAAGGGTTTAGGATGTGTGGTCAAGCACACTGTGTTCAAGCCCCAGTACCAAAAAAAAAAAAAAAAGAAGAAGAAGGAAGGAAGGAAGTAAAAATGAAATAGATTTTATTGTAAAACATCAAAGGTAAAGGAGACCTGTGGTTTGGTAACAATCTAAGAAAACAAACCAAAAAACCCTGGTCTTAATTGGCTAGGAATTGAAGATTGTACAACAATAAAGTATGTTTTATTTAAAAATCGGAGAGTTCTTTAGGAACATCTAACAAAAGAGCAATGTATCTTTTATATCAGAGAGAAGGTTGCTAAGCACTGGACTGACTGGGTGTTACTATGAAATGGGCTTAACTAGAGAAGGATCTCTAACTGCCTTTTGCTAGGGCTCTGGAATCAAAATGATGCATTATGGCCATGCTATTTTTTAAGATCCAGACTTGTCAATACTATCTCAAATAGCGTAAAGACAAGAAATACAAATTCAAGCATGAGCAGGGAAAAGGCGTGTAAGAGAATGGAGTACCGTGGCTCCGGGCAGATCAGAGGAATAGGAGAGTACTGGTCTCCTGCAGAGGAAACCTGACCCATGGGTCACACCATCAATGCCTCAGAAGCAATTATCCAAAGTCAACCTCCACAAGAAAACCAATACCACAGCGACTATTTCTTCAAAGACTGTCTCATACAATGAATTTACTGAGTAACCAATTACTCAATGTTTGATTCCTTGGAAATTTGTTTATATTTATCAACTTCTAAAGATCAGAGCCATTTGTGTTGCTCATTATGTTGTAAAACCAGTCTTTGAAATTAATATTTTCATATAATTTATGGAAAAAATGAGTTTCTTTTGAGTTTTAATTTTAAGTGCTGTGCATTATCACGGATGTCAAATATTTTAGAACATTAAAGATTTTACCCAAGAGTAAAATAGGCATCTTCTTTTCTAACTCATTTTAAATGGAATCCACTGCATTTTGTACTTTTCTTATTCATGGGTTTGCTTTCTTGAGTTTGACAAAAAGAAAAATGCTAACAACTAATTCATGGGGAATTGGGCTTAAAATATGGACCAAACAATGAGAATAGTGATAGGTCTTTCAGAGGATTGTTACAAGAATCAATTTAGTGAGAGGGTAATAAATGTATATTCTTCCATTTAGTCATCTGCCCATGAGAAAAAAAAAATAGGATCTATGGTATTCTTGCTAATAAGAGAAAAGGAAGGAGAAATTGCTTCAATACTAAATTTGCATGACATTTTCTCTTTTACATTTCCACTCTGCACAGGGATGGCCAAGCCTGGCAATTCCAAGAAGCAACAGGCACTAAGAATATAAGAAAGAACTCAAATATGAAAATCAGGAGCCATAAACAACATCATTTTGGAGAAATTTTTAAAATCTAGGTAAACATGGCAGATCCAGTATCTTAACAGACAGACATTGTTGAACAGTTCTGACCTCCAAATACAGAAGAATAGAAATGAAGTGTTATGGAAAGATAGTCAACAAAATGGAATATGGGAAAAAGAACAAAAATAAAGTCCAAGTGGATTTTACATTGAAATGTTTTAAAAATCCTCTAAAACACTTGGTATGAGATATAGAAAAATATTGCTGATAATATTACTCTAGAGAAGATTTTTTTAAAGCAGCCAATACAGCACACACACACACAAAAAGACTGGTAACTTTAACTCCATGCATTAAATATTTCTCTGTGGAGCAATGGACAACATTGCTACTTCCAAAGCAAGTAGCAGCCTGGAAGAAGGTATCTATAATCCGTGCCTCAGAAGAGTGATTATTGTCTGTTATGGTGAAAGAACTCAAAATTAATTTTAAAAAGACTAAGAATCTAATAGACAAATAAGCAAACAACAAGCATTTTCAAGATGAAGAACACTATTTGCATAATATACAAAGAAATTAAATCTCAGGAGTATAAATTAATTAATTAAACCTCAGTAGTAATCAGGGAAAATACAGACTTTAAAGGGTAACATTTTCTTCCCAGTAGATTGGCAAAAAGTTTAAGGAAACTGATAATAGCAATTGCTGAATAAGATGAGGGAATACTGCTCACATAGGTCTTTACAAAATTAATCCTTTAGAGA